ATTTTGATCGTTACCATTAGGATAAGTCATAAGTTATGGATAGTGCTAAATTCATGGGGTAATGAACAGGTTTTAGGTCGTATTTGGAATAGCTTTTTTGGTCTTCTGGGCCCAATTTCTTAAAGCCGCTTACCGGTAATCAAATTTTCGTGCTATAACTGTAGCAGACAAATTTGGTTAGCAAGAAAACAAGACGTCCACCTTGTGCGTTCACAATATATTTGCATTGTTACAAAATTAATTTTCGTCCAGTAAGCAGCGTAAGGTTAATGCATTTTCGTGTGATTACGGTTAGCAGTGCTATGAGGTAGAAACTCATACGTAAGCACAGAACCAGCCGACAAGCAGCTCTATAAAATATGGCCCTGTATAGTCAAAGTGGTGGTACACGGGTCTTTTAATTAAAAAAATAAAATAATAACCCCTTAAGTGTCAAAATAGAGGCAAAGTTTATTTAAAAAAAGAAAACATCACTTTTGTTGGCCTAATATGACCTTGAACTTGACCTTATTGCAAATCCCTGAGCTCTGGCGATCTCAAAGTATTGCGTAATGAATTGGCATCCCCAAGTTAGTTGGAATTGACACCTTAAATGTTTTTCTAGACTATTTGGTTCAAAAGTTACCACGTTTGTACATTGGCCATGCGGACTGGCGGCCATTTTGGATTTGACCTCTCATGGTCATCGGAGGTCACATCAAACTGTGAAATAAACTAACTGAAAAGGGTTAAGGTAGGGGACTCTGCATGGGAACCATTTCTTAATAAATTTGAGAACATAGGGGAGAACAAAATGGGGATTTAACCTTCAGTAACCATTCAAAACTTGCTATATTTGGTCAATTTTGACCTTGAACTTGACCTAAATGCAACACCCTGAGTTCTGGCGATCTCAAAAGTATTACCAAATGAACTTGCATCCCCAATTTAGTTGGAAATGACACCTTAAACGTTTTTCTGGACTATTTGGTTCAAAAGTTACCGCGTTTGTACATTAGACCATGCGGACTGGCGGCCATTTTGGATTTGACCTTTCAGGGTCATCAGAGGTCAAAACAAAATGTGAAATAAACTACCTGAAAAGGATTAAGGTGGAGGACTATGCAGGGGTACCATTCCTAAAGAAATTTCAGAACAAATGACAAATCTTATTTGTAACCATTCAAAATTTGCTATTTTAAGTCAATTTTGACCTTGACCTTGACCTAAATGCAAAACCCTGAGTTCAGGCGATCTCAAAAGTATTAGCAAATGAATTGGCATCCCCAAGTTAGTTGGAAATGACACCTTAAACGTTTTTCTGGACTATTTGGTTCAAAACTTAAGCGTGTTTATACATTACACCATACGGACTGGCGGCCATTTTGGATTTGACCTCTCAGGGTCAGCAGAGGTCAAATCTGACTTCCCTCTACATCTGAAAATAAATCTTATGGTCTCAACTAACTATGCTAGAAGTTTCATGCTTTTATCAAAAAGTGCACAATTTTCTTGCTAAGCCGCTGCACTACACAGCCCCTATTTTATAAGGATAGGGGGTGTTTTTTTTAATTTCTTTCTTACTCTCTCTCCTTTTCCTTTCTTCTTCTCTTTTACCTTCTATTTCTTTTATTCCTTTTCTTCCCTCGCTCTCACCCCTTTCTTATGACGCGAAGGGGGGGGGGGCGGGGCGCGGTTGATTCGGTCCCCACCTGGATCTGCTACTCCCTTATCAGAATTTAATATGCAGATTTGGACGGAAATCTGAGCATGTTTAAAGGGGGTTGCAGGGATTTGCAAGGTAAAAATCTAAAACCTTGTAAAAGGCCCTCCAAAAAAAAATAAAAATAAATAAAAATAAAAAATCATGTTGCCTGATAGGAGCTTTAAATCTGAAAAGACAAGTCAAATCCATGAGTATCTTGTTTTTTTTTAAAATAGTTAGATATAAACAAAAGTTGATGAAATTAGGTAACTGATTTGAAAGTTATGGGTTTGTTTAAAATATGTAAAGCTTTGAAAATTTGGCACCTCACCATTAAGTTTTTGACGTAATTCTTTTCGCCGATTTTTTTTTTCTTCCTTCATTTTTAATAATTTTTTTTTTACTGAATATAAGATTTCCTCTTTCCCGAAGTATCTGATTTTTACATATCTTTAACCAAGTTATATTCATATTAATGTTTTTGCATGTATACAGTAATAAAGAGTGAATTTTCTGTACAAATCCTAAACATAGTCATTTTCAATGAAAGTTATGTTTTGAGGCATCAAATTACGGTCATATGAGCATCCAGAGGCCCGACTTTAGGGCCCTTGGTTGGGTCTAGGGGCAGAGCCCCCGGGGGCTCATGGGTTTTAGGTATTTAATTACGGTCAGATAAGCATCCAGAGGACCGCCTTAGGGCCTTTGGTTGGGTCTAGGGGCAGAGCCCCCAGAGGCTCATGGGTTTTAGGTATTTAATTACGGTCAGATAAGCATCCAGAGGACCGCCTTAGGGCCCTTGGTGGGGTTCGAGGGCGGAGCCCTGTCGGCTCTGGGATTTGAGGCATTTAATTACGGTCAGATGAGCATATTTTGATACTCCATTTGTGACATTGGCAGGTCACCTTTGTTTTATCTCTCTTTCTTTCTTTTTCTCTGTAACATACTTCTTCAAAAGGGAGGGGGGCTCGAGCCCCCGAGCCCAGCCGATCTGCAGGCCCTGACATGAAGGCTTCTAAATAAGCATATTTGTCGCCCGACTGTACATTTTGGAATTTCTAATTTTCCAACAAACGCATGAAAAGGTATGACTTACAAAAAAATACCGGAAAATCATGTCATTTCAGCAACATTTGTAAATCACTGATATCGAATAAGAAATACCCCCTCCCATCAGTACGCCAGCGTTCAGGGGCTCATGTCTTCTCACCTCTATAATAAAAAGCACACACGCTTTCCCATCCTCTCACTATATTTCCACGATATGAATTATAAAAACCTCCATTGATAAATAAAGGTGGCATGCTGAATGTTTAGGAAATATTTTTTCCTGTTAACTTTCCTTTTCTTTGAATGGAATTTTATATTTGATTTAATTCCGATTTTTATTATTGTGATGTTCTTTTGGGTTAAAAATATATACCATTTTTACTCCTTTACTGCTTTTTTTTTTGGAAGGTGGGGGAGGGGGCGAGTGCCCCCCCCCCCCCCCCCCCACGTCCGGCGCCTTTGAGTAGACCAATTATGCTATTAGCAGATATCAGCGAACACTTTTAGACCTGACATGACCGAGAAATATTAAACTATCACTAGGGTAATTCAACCCAAAACTGGGTGTAATATAACCAAGACAGGGTACAATGTGCCAAATTCTGTGTAAAATTTAACTCATAACTCGGTTAAGTAAAATTCAACTCAATACTGGGTAAAATGTACCGAATTGCTGGACAAAATGTAACCAATAAATCTTTACCTTCCAAAGGCCTGGAGTGGGTTCAAATCCCACCATTTCAATGATATTGACAGATATTCTTGAAAGCAGACTCGGTAATGCAGGCCAGGTTTAATATATGACAATGTTGGATGAGTTACTTCCATTTTAGCCATTTTGCTAAAGTAAATTCAAAAGCATGGGTTCAAATCCCACTGCTGCTCTATCGTAAAATACGTTTAAGTGTTCTTGTGGGCTGACTAATTGTTTTTCTAGGTTAAATCCCCTGCTAAACATTCTAAAAGGGTTCCGTTAGTCTATTGATTTACGGAAAGCTCAAAATGATGTGTCAATCTGAAGTTAAACAAATTGATTATCTCATAAAATATTTGACTTAGCCTATACATTCATGCTAGGATTGTTCAATTTGTTGCGGTTTCTTAATTGTGTGCATTATTACAGTAATGTTTAGGGAATTGATAAATTGACACAGGGCATTCCATAGTTCACCTGACTCTTCAAGGGTGGTATGATGCAGTCAGTATTGAAGAATCCAATCCAAGGGGTGCATGGTGATGATGGGTGTAGCTGTTAGGTATACGCCCAGGTGGATTTAGAAATGCAAGACAACAAATCATATTCAGAGTACTATTTGAATGAGATTTAGAAGCTGAATTTATTGATAAGTTTGCAATTTATTATTTGTGTCCAAGCTCTTCTTAGTGAAGTGTGGTCATGTGCAACATACCATCATCGACATGAATTGTAGTAAATTCAATGAATTAACCGTGCATATAAGTCCACATATATTTGTGTGAATAAGGAAATACGTGTAGTAAATGACAACAAAAAACTCTGAATAGGACCATCGAGCTGAAAGATAGACTAATGCTTAAAGGAGAAGTCCATAAAAAGTACAAGCCTATTACAAGGATTGTCACTTTAAATCACCGATCGCCCCCCCCCCCCGAAAATTTTAAACAGTGCAACAAAAAATGTATAGCAAATACTGACTAAGACTGCAACACACTTTTAGGCTCTGGAGGGCCCAAGAGTGCAGCATTTAGACTTTATAAAAATACACAAATCTTCTCGCTCGGTTTGCTTCGCTCCCTTGAATAATATCCTTCAAAATGTACAAGTAAATATCGCATCTCTCCCCCCCCCCCCGAAGAAATCACCGCCCCTAGCTGTCTATATACAGCACTTTATAAGCTAGCTGTGTATATGACACTAATACATTTATTCGATTTTGAAAGCCTCTCCCCGTTTGCCCGCTTTCAATTATATAACTAAATTAAATTGTCGTGCTTTGAATGGTACTTTATCGCTGGTCGTTGAAAGTTGCTAACGAAAAATCGTGACCGAATCTTGATATCAGGTTTGAAGAAAAAAAAGAGGATAATTTACGGGGTGGAACAACGCCCTCCTAGGTTCTATGCCGCTCTATCGCTTCTCCACATCTATGATTCTTCGTTCAAATTTAGTTATAATTCACTGTAACGATAGAACTGCTGATTTGTTATTGAAAACTTGGATTCCCTTAATCCCCGGGAATTTTATCTAAACCAACTAATTACATAGTACTCTCAAAGAATTAAATAATTTTATTTTATTTTAACTGGTTGGTGAAAGTCTTAAATCTAGCACATTAATTGACACATTTTACATACCATGTGCAGTTATATTCTTCCCCTGTCTATAGGTAGGATGACATCAATTTGAACATACCGAAAAATGCTTCAGAATATAATGATGTCATCATCGTAGCACAGATATAAGAGTCATTTGGAAACCATATTTATGATGGTGTAGAGATAGGGATTGAGAGATGAATTGATAGGCAGAACGAAGACCACCAACCAGGCGTAGATGTCCGGCGTTACGTTGACCCCGACGGTCTGGACTAGGATACCAAGGATGATGATTGGCATCCAACAGAGAAGGTCAGTGCCGACAATCAGCAGCATCTTCAGCGCCATCTTGATCTCGTTGGCTGATTGGTTGGTTTGACCAACTTTAGCGCGGACAAAACGGGCCTTGATGAAAATGGCAATGTACGAGAGAAAAATGACAACGAAACCACATAGATTGATACCAAGGAAAAGAACAATGGAGTACTTCCAGGTTGATTCGGTCGAGCCAGCGATCGTGGTGAAATAGGGTATGCCATACTGGTTCGATGTCCTGGTGTCGGTCTCTTTGTAGAGATCCGTAGACTTTCGAATGAAAGGGAGTCCAACGCATACATCACTAAGACCATAGGCATCTGGATTGAGATTATTCAGCAATATGCCTCCGGCGCTGAGAAGTCCAGATCCTACCCAGATAACTGCAATTGCAACGCGGGTAGACACAACGCCCAAACGCCAGTTGCTGAACGGGAACACGACACAAATGAATCGGTCAAGACTGAGGAGGACGAGCAAGAACACCGACGTCTCACTGCTTAGAACAGAGATGAACCCTGCGATCTGACAAGTAGTGCTGGCCCTCCACTCCTCAGCACGACCCTTCCAGAAGTAAGACTCTCCAATGTAGATATCCATCACGGCGAGGAGCACCATATAGAGACCCATCAAGAGATCAGACAGGGCCAGGTTGGTGATGATCATGGCCTGAATCTTGGCTACCCTGGTCACAGGGGTACTCCTCAATCTGACGACCAAGACGAAGGTGTTTCCCAGTAAGGCACTTATCCCTAGGATCCACATGAAGACCTTGATGGTAAAGTTCTGAAGGAAGGTCTTGCGGCAGGTGAAGAGAGGATGAGGAGGGCGCTCTTCAATACAGTGTACACTGGTCGGCGCCAGACAGCAGAAACGTGAATCGTAGACATACCTGATGGAAATAATGAACATGGGACTTAAAATGTGGATGAAGGATGAGAGATATCTTCAGGATAAAAACTTATTTGTATTCGGTGCCATGACGAGTCCAGAGGCATGAAACAAAAGGAGAACCGAAACCCAGTAACGAAAAATTAACCTGACCCATTACTATGATACCTTTTAAACCTATAATTTGGACAAGCATGAAATGCTTTCAGGAAAGTAACGATGTTCAGCTACTTGAAACCGGGTAAAATGCCTATTATAAAATTACATAAAATCTAAATTATTTCCTCGTTAGTGTAATATGTTAAGAGTATATTTTGGTTGCCCTCCTTGGTGACTACGCGATACGTATTTTGTTTGTATCGGGTAATTTTGACACATTGAACCCCTAGAAAATGACATTTTCTTGTCAAAAGTTAACCCAAATGCAAACCCTTTATTAAATAGAGAGAGACAGATAGAGATATATTATATACAGAATGAACAAGACAAAACAAAATGTTGACTTACACAGCAGATAAACTGTCCAGGCCTTCAAAGATTTCAGGATAAAGTGGGATAGATTTGGGGCTCAAGGATGTAATGACTCTGTGTAATGACACAAGGAGTAAACAAACAAAAAAATATGAATTCTGACAAAAACCATAACACATGTGTTATTGTCTGTTTGGAGTCAAAAAGGTGTTAACTCATATCATTGTACACAAAGTTAACGCCCTTCTGACTTCAAAAAGTCGTTTTATTAGTTACGGAATTTTGTTTGCCTGTAAACCTCGAACTGATCTGCTGAAATCAGCCATTATCATTTTATACTATTAAATTATCACACATATTGCGCTAATGAGGAGAGGTAAATTAACCCAATCGAGTTTTGAAAAATAATAAACTGCTATCAAGGACGCGTGGATAAAGGATTTCTCTTTCATTTTATCCACAGATCCTTCGTCAAGCAAACGTATTTTCCCCTGTCTACAAGCCTGAGTTTATTGAATTTCACAAATGAATTATATACGATCAACAGGTTCCAGGGCAGGACTGACAAATTATTCCCTTTAAAGTAGGATTTACAGGTAAATTCTTAATTAAGACCAAATCTTCTATCAAAACAATTTACGACGGTTAATATGTGACTTATTGAAATTTGATACAAACATTTATGTTCATTTATTGTTCCATGGTTCACAAAAAAGAAGTACAAGCTCTGTAGTGCTCCATCAAGCTATTACTTTAAAAACTTACAAGTCCGTTACTTTGGAGAGATTTTTAAAAGTTCCCGGTTCAATGTGTTCTATTAGACTCTCGCCAAGATTCCTGATGGAAAAGGGGAAAAAAATATATAAAGTTTTGAACAAAATAATTATAATTGTGTATAAAACACGAACAGAACTACTTTTTAAAAATCAACCTAAGGCAATTGCAATAGCTTGGTGTACAATAGGGTAATGAAATTGCTTTTTTAGTTGATTTTTCGAAAATAGTTGCTATCGCGTTTTCTTAAAAACGCACATAGAAGAAATGTTCGTTCTTTACAATGACTATCATATGAAGAGCTTGATTCCAAAACGAGCTAAATCCATATTTTATCAAATTTGAATGTTTCGTCTTAAAATAATGATTTCCTACATGGGGACAAAAATGCACTATATCACATTCTAAATTTCACCAGGAAGTATGAAGTAGGTACAATATCATGTTTCATTCCAAAAGGAGCTAAATCCACTTGGGAACTTTTGAGTAAATCACCTTCTTTATTTCTCCACTTTCCCTTTAGCCATGTACCTTCATGTTATTATATATGTTAAAGGTGTTGCCCTGGACCAATAATATGGATTTAGCTCCTTTTGGAATGAAACTGTGATATGTTGTTTACTTTTTTTTCAAAAGTTTTTTTAGTTATGATTTTACTATTATTATTTATAGGAAAGGTTTGCTGCTAAATTTAATACAATTTCAGTGACCTTATTAAGAAAGTTTTGAATTTTGTAGGTTTAATAACATGTTTCATCTCAAAAGGAGCTAAATCCACGAAAATAAAAAATCAAAAAATTAAGTAAAAATCAGAAAAAATGGTAGATTCTTTTTTAATCATATATTATTGGTCCAGGGTGACACCTTTAACATATATAACAACATGAAGGTACATGGAAAAAGGGAAAGTGGAGAAATAATTAAAGGCGATTTACTCAGAAGTACCCAAAGTGGATTTAGCTCCTTTTGGAATGAAACTCTTCATATATAGAATAGGACATACACATAAAAAATGAATACATAACATGTATTTAGGTATGTGTAATAAAGTATTATATACTTCTCTTTAGAAATCTAGCCATCTGATTGGTCGAAATTGCAGTCGTGATTTTATAGCCATTCTCCCGTAAAGAGACGATACGGACAATGCCAGTAAATGTCAATATTTCATAAGTGATATTCCCGAAAGATTCCGGGTACCAAGAAAATAGTTGAATTTTACTGCGATCCCTATTCATGAGTAATATTCCCGCAAGATTCCGGGTACCAGGAAAATAGTTGCGACCCCATTGGTTTACGTGATAAAACTTAGTTTGTGCGCAGCGCGCGCAGCTACCACTAAGTTTTTGTGCGATTAATTTGGTTTCTACAAACACAACGCAGATGACCGCAGATCTCGATTGTAGGCCTAGATATACATGTAATCTCCGATATTTTGGTTTTTAAACCTTATTTTATGTCCAAATAAGCTTTAAAAAATGGCTGAAGAGACTCTTCCTAGGTTTGGACTTCTTGATGATGATCAATTACAAGACTTGATTAATTCTGCGGACAGCAAGAACACCAAAAGTTCCGTGAAATTCTCTGTAAAAATATTCGAAGACCAGGACTACCTGCAAGTTATCAACACATACCTCGATAGCATAAACAAACTTGATTACCATGATTAGTAAGTCGCACATGTATGCTATGACCCTTTTTACGGTATATAAAAGATATAATGACTGCTTTAATATTCGAGGAATAGTTGTTTCATGTGCTCTCGGGTGTCCTCTTGAGCCTAATATACAACTATTCCTCTAATAACAGTCATTGTATCTTTATCATAACATTTGTTCTGCTTTTTACGATTTTAATAACACGACCGCAACTACTTTCGTAAAAGTAATACCATTTGTACACCCTACGTAATTGTATATCAATGGGCTATAGAACAAAAAACCCTTGTACAATCACACCAGGCCGATTACCAGCGGACAATTACCCCCTATACAGGACTATTACCTCCTGTGGACTATTGCACCTCCCCCAGGAAAATGTTAAATTTAGAAAGTCCCGGAGAATTATGAATGCATTGAAAAATAATAAAACAAAAATCAATATCACTAAGGCTTCAGTTCATTCTAATATCGTGTAAAACATGATAATAATTAGAGGAAAAGAGTGGCGTGCAACAGAGCTTTAAAATTTTAATTAAACAGTCGATATTACTTACGCCCGTAGCAATTCTGTTTCGATCCCGTAGAACAGAGAAGCGTTTATTGATGTCAATTGGTTCCACTTCAAGATTCTACAAACGATAACAAGTAGTTTGTGACGGTTGTAGTGATTATGTAACATTAAGATGATACATACATGAAAGCACATATTTTTGTATAAGTCTACAAAACTGTTCTAAAGTGTTGACAAATGAATTACAAATGTCTTTGTTTTGTTGTATTCTTTGTAAAATACAAACAACCAAAAAATGGCATTACATGAATTAACTTATCTCACTAAAGTCATTCATCAGATTTAGCCGTACAACAGTGTACTTATAAATGGGTTAGAATTTGTCTGCTTACAATCTCTGAAATGAATTTCCGAGATCCTTAAATGTCCCAGGGCTAAACTCCGTAATCGAGTTGTTCTTCAGGTCGCTGTAGAAAAGAATGAAAGTTAAGTTAAAACTTGAACTCAAGTTAGCTATATAGGTTATGTCTTCTAAAAAATCACGGACAGTGTTCATTAAACAGGGTTAAATGGACAGATGTTAATAGTATAATTATGATTTTATTTAATACGAGAGACTACAAAATGATGAAATAATCATGATACGTAATTTAAAGAAAGAGCTGGGAAGAGAATGTTTAAGGAAAATCCCATCGCAATAGAATGTGATGGAGAATAGGCAAAAAGAGAATAGGGGAATTAGAGCGTGCAACATACTAGCAATACCATGATGAAAGGAATAACAAATATGAAAGTATAAGGTCCTTCGGTAAATTTATTATCTCCTCTAATGTCTCTTTATATGATGCATTATATGGAATGGATCTGAATTAATTTAAAAAAAGACTAGTGTTCTTTACAATATCCCTTCTTTTATCTTTGACATTTGTAAACGAAGGAAGCATAAAATGAGAGTCCTATACGTCGTACATTGCAAAGAGATTTTGTAAATCTTGAAAGCACCCGTCTTCGAATCGAGTCACATAGTTGGACGTCAAAGTTCTGAAACAAATCACAACATTAAACAAATTAAAATATAATACAAATACTCCGAAAATATGCTGTATACATGTATGCCCACAATTATACCATTGTTCTCGTCATTTAGCCAGGGGCGTCAATCTTGACATACATGGAGCTTTACAAAATCACTGTCATAAGTAAATTCATAGATCCAGTGATCTCAATGCAGCAGACAGCAAGAAACTGTGCAAACTGATCACTTAGCTCCAAATTTTTTTAAACAGGAATGGATGAAAGTTTGCCTAATGTTAAGGTTGGTACAAGCTTAACTCAATGTTATAATTATTCCAACCATTGAGAGTTTTCTGTATAATTGTTTTTGTTTTTATTATTGTTATTAATAATAGTGTTATTATTAATATTTTTATTATTTATCATTATTATTGTTATTTATACTATTATTTTTATCATTGTTTATAAGTATTAGCATTATTATGTTTGTTTTTTTCGCATTATATGCCTGTGACTAGTATCAAGAGTCCGTAACCAAGAGCTATTAAAATCGAATGGAGATAATTGTTGCAAAAAATGTGTAAAGACACTGGCGCGACTAGGATTTTCAGGCACGCGAGGGGGAGGGGGACTATTTAACTATGTGAAATAACAACAACAACAACAATGATAATGATAATGATGATAACATTAATAATAATAATATTTTAATGCTAATAATAGAGATATTAATGATAATAATTATCTGATAAATGATACTAATGATGATGATAAGAAAAATTAGAAGAAGAAGACGAAGAAGAAGAATAAGAAGAATGATAGTAGTGATTATAATTTAATAATATTGATAACAACAACAACACCAGAAAATGCTATATTACTCACAACACTCCCAAGTAGTGAAGATTTCGAAACAAACCTTCCCCCAGAACAGTCAGACGATTGTTTTCAAGTTCACTGATAATCAGATAAAAAATAAAATCAAACATGATCGTAATTGCTTTTGAAAACTTAATTTAAAGGCAATTTAGGAATATATTCTAGGGAAAGGAATCTAACTAAAATGTAGACCCCCCCCCCCCCTCCATCAAAAAAAAGTATACCTACAGTATGTATAGACGAAATAACCCGTCGAATACTCCTGGTGGCAAGTAGGTTAATTCACATGATGCAAGATACCTGAAATTAGATTTGAAACAACCGAACAATGAACAAAAGAATTGTTTATGGTAATGCCAAATGGTGATGATGATAACGATAATAAAAATGACAATAACGATAACATTAATGAAAATAATAATAACGATGATGATGTTGATGATAACGATAATTATAATAGTGAAAATAACAATTTTCAATGTTTCTCGTAATTTACAAGAAACATTCAAAATTTACCAGTTACAAACAACCAAATCATATAAAATGCATTATTATTACCCCGGTAACTGGACTTAACTATTATTCCGCACATTAAAAAGCAGATTCTCTACCCCCTTGAGAGCATTCTACCCATGCAGTCGCCTTTAAACTGGCGCCTCACATGCTACGAGCATACCTCTACAATCAATCAAACAACGACACCTCTAGGTCACCTGGAGATGATAAAGTTACTTACAAATTGTTGATATTATGCAGTCCTTTAAACGATCCCACTTCTAAAGTCAGAGGAATGCCTATCATATTGCTACAAAAGAAAGTGATATACAATGCAAAATAGTTATTGAATTATTCGAATTTACTGATATTTCATATGACACATTAACATCTATCGCTCTTGCTATAACAAATATATTATGCGTGAAGATTTACAGGGACTGCAAAAGAACACGGATATAATACTTTAATTAAGTAATCCAAAACTCATTATACAAAAGTTAGATAATATTTTTGTTTCAAAGGCGGCGGGGTAAAATACTCAGGTGTAAAAATTGCATTTTATCAACTATAGTCGAAGTTAGAGTCTCAAGTGAGATGACAATCAGATAATATAACTATATAGAAGTAGTTTAAGACCTCATATTGCTTGAACGTGTTGTGCGCGTTGATGTGTTAAATGGAGTGGGTGTGGGTGAGGTTGGATGAGTGTATGCGAGTGTGTATACGGGAAAATTTAGGTGGGTACGTCTATGGCGCGCCATTTGACCAATAACCCCGATAAACACTGTTTATCGACGAAAAACAAGATTTATCGAGCGAAAAACAAGGTTTATCGAGCGATAAACAATGTTTATCGACTGATAAACAATGTTTATCGAGCGAAAAACAAGGTTTATCGAAAAACACAGTTATTCGTATTTCGTCAGGAGTGGGCGTGTTTCATATCCCCCTTTATCTGTCATCTATTTCTCCTCTCTTTCCATCCATCTATCCCTGATCTTTTTCTTCTCTATCGATCTCTCTCCATCTCTCTCCATCCATCAATCCCTGCTCTATCTCTCCTCTATCTTTCATTATCTCCATCCATCCATCTCTCCTCTATCTCTCCTGTTTCTCTCCACTATATGGCATTCTTCTCGCCTCTCTCTCTCCATCCATCTATCTCTACCCTATCTCTCCTCTATCTCTCCTCTCTCTCCATCTATCTCTATCCATCTATCACCCGCTCGATCTCTCCTCTATCTCTCTTCTATTTATCTGCAATAACCATCCATCTATCCCCGCTCTACCTCTTCTCTATCTCTCCTTTATCTCTCCTCTATCTCTCCTCTATCTCACATTTATCTCTCCTTACTCTCCTTCCATCTACCCGCGCTCTATCTCTCCTCTATCTTCATCCATTTATCTTTAAAATATCTCTCCTCTATCTCTCTCTCTCTCTCTCTCTCCATCTATATCCATCCATCTATCCCCGCTCTATCTCTCCTTTTCCCCTGCTCTATCTCTCCTCTATCTCTCATTTATATCTCCTCTCTCTTCAACCATCTATCTCTACCCTATTTCTCATACCGGAGGAAATAGATAAAAGGGGAGGAGGCAGAGAGGGAGTGCAGAGAAAGAAAAAGGAAAGAGAAAGGGAAAGAGAGAATTAGAAGAAAGAGAGGGAGAGACAGAAGGGTTATATTGAGAGGGTAGAAGAAAGAGAGAGTGAGAGAAAGAAAGGGGGAGAGTGAGGGAGAGATAGAGAGAGAGAAAGATAAGAGAAGGGGAAAACCTAGAAAGTTTGAAAGAGAAAGAGAGAGCTAGAGAGAGATAAATAAACATAAAATTTCAAAAATTGGGAAAAAAGCCTGGAATTGAGAATACTTCGCCATACCTCCACTCAGAAAATGTCGTTTGTGGTCATGAGCGCGAGCAAGTGTTACGGTGTTGGTATATTCTACGGTGTAAAGCGCACGTGCGGAGCAGTGCTCTGAGCTGGGTGCAACTTTAAAAAGCGCCCACTCCTGACGAAATACGAATAACTGTGTTTTTGGATAAACCTTGTTTATCGCCGACAAACAATGTTTATCGAGCGAAAAACACTCTGAATTATTTAGCA